TAACTACTATCAATAAATTTGAAGAATAAATATTCAAAAAAACTTTAATGGCAGCAAAATGTATCGATACTTGTAGAATGTAATAGTGAATATATTATTGGAATAATCAGATATCAACAAATATTTTGTAGTATATTTTTTGAATTTGTGAATGATTCCTTCTTACGTTAGAAACTTCCAAACCCATCCCCTTTTCCGGTTCAACTAACGTTCACTCATAACTAACATGATGCTAATTACAGTCTACGAATGAAATATTGCTCCTTCACGTGGCGGCGCCGTTACGAATCAATATGATTCAACGAAAGTAGACTGATTTTCTATTTTCACTAATATCCTGAGTGATAACTCTCTGTGCCTCACAGAAAAAGTTTTGTTTTGATTGATTCAATTTCAATTGTTAGACTAAATAAAAATTTCCAACATCTGTGGACAGTTATTTCTTCAAACTGATACGTAATGAGATGGAGATGCATTTATTTTTACACAAATTTTCGTAACACGTTACATTGCAATTCATATGGGTTTCTGGAAGAAATGAAGCTTGATAAATGCATGTTTTTCGCTGCGGTTAAAGTGACGTTACGGCATGTTATATTTTTGCTAAATTTTTAATGTGTCATATAATACGCCACCTTCCTTTTTATTATTTTGACTGGACGTGTAGGACTCCAAAATTAGCCAGCTCGCAGTCCTGATATGAATATTCTAGATTTTTATTCATGGGGTCATCTCTTGTATATAAAACTCATGCACTAGATATGAATGATTTTAGGAATTAGATAAATGACAATTGTAATGTCATAAATACTCCGGGTATTTTCGAACGTGTCATTATAGTCAATGACAGATCGATTGCAGTCGTGTATTTTATCGGCTCATTCACTTTAGGCTCGAAATAGTTTATTATTTACTTTTGGTCTTCACCCCACCATCAACTACACACAACTTCACGTCAACTTAGCCAGTTTAGTAGTGACAGTGTGATAGTAAAAACGTGTCTCGTGAATTTCAGAATTCCACGCCTCCAAAACTTCAAGGCCCCTTTTGGTTTGATTATGATTCGAACTGCTGCCTTTGAATTCCACTTATAGTTGTTCGTAACCTAATAACATTGAATTTCAAATTTGTTCAATGATTTTCTTTGCAATTATTCCTATGCTGTTCCACATTAGGCGCTTGATATTATATTTTCCATAATCTACAAATAAATAAACGAATTCATTGATGTCAAAATCATTGAAATCTAACGACCGGAAGTGAAAACCGGAAGTGACTTTTTTTGACGGATTCCAAAACTTCCCACCATAAGGAATACAAATATATCAAATGTTTCAGTATACGATGATTTTGTCATTACCGGATGTGTTTATTTTTGCATGAAACGTAAAGATATGTTTAAGGTGGATAATCAAATTTTCTTTTCTTTCTCAACATCTCTACGACTTTACATATGCTTCTCATACATTTTTCGAAAGTATTTCATCACACCTTATGCCTATTTGACATGTCGCCATGTCCTTCCTTTATTATTTTAAAAATCGATACCCCTTTCATGTGCATTACATCATAATCTGTCTGCAAAGATGTGAACTAGTGCCCTCTTGGCATCGTCTTCGTTTTTTTCTCTGTCGATGAATTCTACACCTCTTCTCTTTTCGTTTGATGTGCTGCATATTGAGATTCGAAAGTCAACGATGTGGCCTAATGCCCTTCTGACATGTTGCGTCATCTTTGATTTTTCTCTGTCGATGAATTCTGCATAAATTTACTTTTCTTTTGACGTGTTGTGCCTGACGATCTGATCATTATCAGTGAATATACAACTTAATGCCCCTCTGACATATTGCGGCCATTTTTGGTTTTTTTCTTTGTCGATAAATTCTGCATTCGTTTCCCTTTCATTTGATGTGCTGCACGTTGAGATTTAACTATCATCAACGAAGATGTGACTTAGTGCCTTTCTGACATGTTGCGCCATCTTCGTTTTTTCTTTGTCGATACATTCTGCATTCGTTTAGGGGCGGAGTACTAAGGGTGCCGATAGGTGAAGTACTAAGGGGGCCGGGTTCCACGCTTGAATCGCTACGATACTCATTCCATCCTGCGTCGATGATGTCATACGTTTCCCCCACTCCTGTTTGAACCAAAAATTGCAAAAAGTTTAGCTCCATAAGAAAATACATGGGATTTTGGGCCAGAATCCGCCTTGTTCATCTACTGGTGGTTTGAATTTCCCGCTGTATGCGCGATAGCTGATTGGTTGACTGAATGACGGTAAAAGTGGAGAAGTGGAGGTGGTCTGAAGTGGGCTTTGAAGCTAAGACTCAGTTTATATATGATGAACGTCTGGCAGAGACGAGGCGCTGACTTTTGTCCTTTCCGTGTTAACTGGACCTGAGGTCCAAAAAACGCCAGAATGAAGGTCCATAAGAAAATACATGGGATTTTGGCGTAGAACTCCTAAAGCTCTATTACTAACATAAGCGAGACATGAGTGGAAACACCTATTGGTGTGACATCCAAGTCAGCTTGCCAAGTTTTTTTAGTATGGAAAAATTCCACATTCCTTATTAAATTGAAAATAAACCTTGCAGGTCGGAAAAATTCTTGCAGGTCGGGTCTGCCAGACATGAATCTCGACCGGATTATTCATTTTCGACAGAATAAATTTCCAACCCCCACTTAATAATTTCACAATTCTCAAAAAATTGAAAATATATTTTGCAGCTCGGCAGAAATTCTTGCAGGTCGGATCTCCCAGACATAAATTTCGACCACGTTAATCATTTTCGACAAAAAAATTTTCAACCCCCCTCTTTTCAGTATGAAAAAATTCACATTTCTCATAAAAATGAAAATAAACCTTGCAGGTCGGGTCTGCCAAACATGAATCTCGACCGGGTTGAACATTTTAGACACAAAAATTTTTCAACCCCCACCCAAAAGTTTCACAATTCTCAAACAATTGAAAATACATTTCACAGGTTGCCGAAAATTCTTGCAGGTCGGATCTCCTAGACATGAATTTAGACCAGGTTGATCATTTTCAAGAGAAAATTTTCAACCCCTACCCTTTGAATATGAAAAAATTCCACATTTCTTATAAAATTGAAAATTAACTTTGCAAGTCGGTAGAAATTCTTGCAGGTCAGGTCTGGACATGGTTGGGTCTGTGAGACCCGACCTGCAAGGTTTATTTTCAATTCAATGAGGAATGTGTAATTTTTCCATACTCAAAGGGTGGGGGTTGAAATTACTTTTGTCGAAAATGATCAACCTGGTCAAGATTTATGTCAGGAAGACCCGACCTGCAAGAATTTCCGCCGACCTGCAAAATGTATTTCCAATTTTTTGAGAATTGTGCAACTTTTGGGTGGGGGTTGAAAAATGTATCTGTAGAAAATGATTAAACTGGTCGAAGTTCATGCCTGGCAGATCCGACCTGCAAGAATTTCTGCAGACCTGCAAGGTTTATTTTCAATTTAATGGGGAATGTGGAATGTTTCCATACTCAAAGGGTTGGATATTTTTTGTGAAAATGATCAACCTGGTCGAGATTTGTCTGGGAGACCCGACCTGCATGAATTTCTACCGACCTGCAAAATGTATTTGCAATTTTTTGAGAATTGTGAAACTCGTGGGTGGGGGTTGGAAAATTTTTCTATCGAAAATGATTAAACTGGTCGAGGTTCATATCTGGCAGACCCGACCTGCAAGAATTTCGGCCGACCTGCAAGATATATTTTCAAGTTAATGAGAAATGTGGAATTTTTCCATACTCAAAGGATGAAGGTTGGAATTTTTTCTGTCGAAAATTATCAACCTAGTCGAGATTTATGTCTGGGAGACCCGACCTGCAAGAATTTCCGCCGATCTGGAAAATGTATTTCAAATTTTTTGAGAACTGTGAAATTTTTGGGTGGGGGTTCGAAATTCTTTCTATCGAAAATGAATAATCTGGTCGAGATTCATATCTGGGAGACCCGACCTGCAAGAATTTCCGCCGACCTGCAAAATGTATTTTAAATTTTTTGACAATTGTGAAATTATTAAGTGAAGGCTGGAATTTTTTTTTGTCGAAAATGAATAATTTGGTCGAAATCCATAACTGGCAGACCCGATTTGCAGAAATTTCTGCCAACCTGCAAGGTTAATTTCTAATTTTATGAGAAATGGGAAATTTTTCATACTCAAAGGGTGGGGGTTGGAATTTTCCGAAGAACAAATTGAATACAAAATAAGCTAATGATGGAAGAAAATTAAGATCACCAGCATTGAGAGTCGGGAATTGGGTTCTTTCAAGAAATCAACGTATTGGAAAAGAATTTGTGACAAAAAGTCCTTTTAAAGTTACAGGCGTCGAATATATTATTGGCAAAGTTTTAGTCTACGTTAATTTCAATTCAGATAATTCAAAGACTGAAACAGCCCATATAATATGAACATTCGACAATTTCATCACAGGAGTGATGATTTTTCGAGATGGGGAACCTGTGGTAAAATGGCCATTTGGTGATATGGTTGTTGATAAAGTAGAATAGAGTAGAATACCTGAATACAAAAAGTAGGAAATATAGTAACTGAAGAATTATCTGGATATTTCATAAACTACATCTCTTTAAGATTTGATCTGGTGGATATCAAATCGTGAAGTGTAGTTTATTAAACTATATATTTCTCCCATGGATTTCAAAGGTGAATATTTCCATACCTCTGTGGAGAATACCAAATGGTCAAATGGAAATAATGTCGAGTCTCAGGTTTCTCATATAGGGAAAAAAGCAAATCTATATTTTTCCTTCCTCTAAGAAATGCTCTAATGCCATATCATTCGTTCTGAAATAAAGTTTCCGGAATAACCTGACAATGAAGTGTTTCGCTCTGGTACAAGCTGATCTTTCGATCAGCTTGTACTCGAAGCTGCTTTCGATCAACTCGAAAGCAGCTTTGATAACCTGACATTTTAAATTTAAAATGTCACCGTTGAGCCAGTCAATCGTCAATTGTCAATATTGTTGAAAGAAAACAAACCACCAAACACTCTTAACTTTTGTGTCAATAAGAAAAAATAGATTTTATAATTTTCAAGGTGGTCTGAATAAGATTTTTTTCTAATTTGAAGAATTCCGTCCATAGTTTTGAAAATATATCGCCAAATATGGACTTGCTTCTAAAGGACAATCTATGCAAAAATTTTCGCTGAGGACGTATTGTCTAATCTATGGGAAAATGTCTTTTTCCTTACCAAACGGCAAACCAAAAAGGTTTTCCATCGACGATGCATTCGAGGAAGAGACTGACGAAGCTATCAAAGTGTATGGCGCAACAGGACTTAGATCTCCAATATCTAATACAACAAGAAATACATTGGATAGTGATCATATTGATGTTAATATGGAAAATGGAAGGTTTGAATAACAACTATCGGTAAATAATCGTTTAAATGGCTTGCACTGGTTTTTAAAGGTTTATTAGATTTATTTTTGTCCATTGAATACAAATCTTAAGTCAAAACTTGGCGCCGTGGTCTAATTTCAGAAAGACGTAGTAAAAAAACGATCATTTTAGGAATTCAGATTATAAAAAACTCATAAAATCAATTGCATCTTATTCTTCCTTTTGAAATATTTTCATGAAATAAAAAAACCCTTTCTCTAAAATAACCTTATTTTTGGAATCGTGATATTGTCGCTTCAGTGGAGTTTTTTTATTTATCAGTTCGGACTTTCATTGCCTAATATAATATAAATTGGCAATGGAAGTCCGAACTGATGAAATACACCACGAAACATTGTCAACCACCTTTGAACAAAAGTTTTTTTACTGTTTATTGCAAATATCGCCTAAATTCAAAGTCAACAAGTAAATAAACAATTTTTTTTTTTAATTAATTTAAATGTCTTGTTGCCAAATTATGAAATTTTACTTTATGTAATTTGTTTTTTTTTTCAAATAAATACAATTCATCAATTCAGCATTCTTTTGAAGACATCCCTACACAAGCTACAAACAGAATCAATTTCAGAAGGTGAAGTGTCAATAATTTTTTTTTATTATACTATAAATTTGACATCATAACATTCATTTCTAATTTAATTTAGTAGCACTGCCAACAGAACTAATGAAAACTTTCTTTGCATAAGTGTCATTTAGTTTAATAGCAATTGTGATGTAGTTTGTTGGAAAAAATGGAAATATATAGAAGATAAGTCAATGAAAGTTTACAGCATGTGATCATGAAAAGGTATCATTTCATCAGTTTCTATTACCAAAAATGAATTCCTGAAATATCTCATTTTTAAACTTTCTACTGGCTGTATCTCCAGATTAGACTGGAACACCAATTTTTCGACTTCAGATGTGTGATCAATGGATGAAAATAAGTATGTCTAGTAAAATTTGTTTGAACTATTGTGAACCGTTTAAACAAATAATTACCTACCCAAAAATAAATTAATAGTAATATTACTATTGCTTGCAGAACTTACAAAGTGGCAAATGATGCATCCAGAGATAGTGATTCATTAATACAAGGCTATTATGACTGCTCCAGTCAAGAAAATCTGAACCGTTCGTGCTTCAATCATCCAAAGGTGCAAGAAAATTGGCGAATGGTTCTTGCGGCTGCCACGCTTCTCATTATAGGTCTGGGACTTCTAATGACCGGTATGATTACACTTGCTGAACCGAATTCTGGTTTGCAAGGATCAGTATTTTTATTAGCAGGGTTCATCTGTTTTTTACCAGGAATTTATCACATCGTATATATTTATTTGGCTGCAAAAGGGAAACGTGGATACCATTTTCACAATTTGCCCTTATTTACTTGAATTTTTTAAGGGGCAATAAAGTTCATCAAAAGACCTTCACATATTTATTTCATAGAAGGTGTGATATTTTCACTTCTCTCTGTTTTTCTGAAACAATTGTAATGTTGATAAAATATCTAACTGCTGATTGTAAGATTATAAAATTGATCAAACAATTGAAAAACAGAAAATTATAGTAGCACTTGAAATGAACATTTTTGAATCAAGAACTGGTGTCTCCTTAAATTAATAGAATATTTCAAGTTGGATTAAGCTTATTAAGGCAAATCTGAAGGGTTTATGAAACAGATTGTATAGTTTGTTTTCGGTTATTAAAACAAATGAGAATTGAACTGAATTCCTCTATAAATTGATGGATGTAGCCCTTTCTATGTGTTGCTCTTTATTAAGACCTAATAAATTGTTGTGAATAGAGTACTGAAGAAGGAATACAGAGAAACCCAGAATCTTAGGGGAGAAAAATTTTAAACAAAAAATATTTTTCACATAAAGTACTGACTTTTGTTAAAACGCCAAAAAACTGAATTTGTATAATTTGCCGTTGAATATATTCATTTCATAACATGGAGGGTACCCATCATACATTTGTATAAAATATTCTGTTCATTATCTTCCTTATAGGATGCTGTATCACAATATTCAATATGAAATTTTTTCCTCATAGGTAACACTTTTCGCTTTGACTGATCAAAATAAAAATATGTTTATTTGACGAGGATAGCCAATATTTGTATTTATATTGATGAAAATTTGAAATTAAATCTGATCTTATGGAAAAATATGAAAATTTTTGTAGTAATAATTACATTAAAGTTGACAGAATACCGTGAACAGCCTAAGATGAGTTCTCCACATGGCCATTTGATCCTAGCTATATGTTTAAAATTTAATGGTATATTCGGAATGTAATGGTGATATGCATTTTTTGTATCCACTGACGAGCAATGAAAAAGTAGGCACTTTGTACAGAAAATAATGTAAATGTGTTTATTTTACTATTCATGAATAGGATAGACTACAGTCCATTATTGTAATAATGTAAGGAATTTGCTGAGTAATATTACATATGTTTTCATTGAAAAGTTTTAATAAATCAAAACGGCATTGCACTGAGTTACTCACAAATATATTTTATTTGCAACTCCTACCAGTTTCCAAACAATTTTTTTTGTGAACTAATTGCAGTTTGAGTTATTCTATTTATTTTCAAATGTTTTAGAATTTCAGGTTTTTCACTGCTTCAATAAAATTTAATTATTATTGTTCATTTACAATTTTTAAACCAGAAATGTATTCAATTTAAAAAAACTAAAATGTTATTTGAAAATTGTTTCAATTTCATGACTGACTCTTTTCGAAACTAAAATAGAAGAGATCAGGAGATACTTTAGTACCAGTAATGTGTCATAACGAGATAAAATAATTACTGATTATTATAATTAAATTTCAAAAATAGCTATAAGTTTCACTGATAACTCATATTGTCTATAGATGACTGATTATTATTATCACATTTCAAAAATAGCTATAAGTTTTACTGATAACTCATACTGTCTTTGGTATGAAATACTTCCTCTTCTAATGTAAAATATCAAATCACTTATGCTGTTCTAATTTTCAAATCTAAGATTTTTTATGTTTCAAAAAGGGAGGGATTCATAAACACGAATTTTAGAAAACCCACATAAATAATCAATTGCAAGAATTTTTGGATTCAATACATTCTAATAAAACCCCAGATGTAATAGTTCTGGATGCAGGTTGTTTAAGTTCTTCTAAAATAATATGTGTATTATCTCATACATTTTTAGGAAAAATCATTAACAATTATAAGGAGGTTGTTTGCGAATGAATATTTATGTAAATACACTTTTTTGAGATTTTTAACATGAACAGTTTGAAATATTTTGTGTGTTATATTACTTCTCATAATAGTTTTTGTGCTCCAATGAATAATAATTTATAATTTTTCTCAGGCACTGAAAACTGAATGAATCAAATAGAATTCTCACTGTAATGTCGATAGACAAGATGTTTTTTATTATAATAGACATATCTTATTCCAAACAGTTTTCCATCATCAAAATAAAAAATTTGTCTCTCCACTGTTCTAGTGAGAGAAAAGTGTTTTCAATAGATTCAGAAGTTCAAAATTCTACTAATCAGTAAACACATTATTGTTCCCCCCATACCATCACCAGATAATATACCATATTTCTGGGTGTTGCAGTATATAAGAGATATTGAATATATTTATTATACTCGTCTAGGTTGTTGGTTTTTAAATTTTGGCGATAATGAAAATAATGTACTGCTCTCTTGGAAGCTTTTCATTGTTATAGAGGGTGTTAGGCAGTCATTTTGGTGTTTTTATATGTTAAACAAAAAAAAATACATTTTGATTACTTTTTATATCAAACTCTTGATAGTTCCTTCATGTTAATAACTTTTCAATGATCACAAAATACAAGAGGTTTTTTTGTCCACTTGAGGTAATTTAGTTTTGTAAACATGCCTTTATTCAGATAAGTTTATATATTGCCTTATCAGTAATATTTACAGTACTATATTTTAGGTCGGAAATAATTATTTTTGAAAATAGTGCATAGTGGCGAGGCATAAACACTAAAAATTTCGATTTATGACACAATTTCCATATTTCTAATGTTAGATATGCTATACTTTACAAAATAAGGCATCACTTTCAAAACATTCACTGAAAACTAAATATTTACAAAAGTGAACAATTTGAAATCCTGATAAATAAGGTTAATTGTAAGTGTACTGGGGTACTAGGGAGCTGAAATTCAAATATTTAAGTACTCAGATATATAGTGTTGAAAAGCTTGTAGATTGATATTACATTTAAATAGTTATCAGATTCAGTGACAGTTTCAATAATCTACATAGGTATTAAAAATCTGCCTATTTTAACGTAAAGGCTGTATTTTTCTAAATATTTCAGTTTCTGTTTAATATTATAAAAGTCATAATATCGGAAAATGTTACTCATCCTAATTATATTTACACACTATTTTTTTCAAATTTTGAGCATTAGACAATTTTGAGATTCTGCTTACTTTTAGGAACATTAACTTCAGTAATATATTTAAGAAACCAACAAAATTGCGTCTTAATCAGAGGGTCTTGTCACAATTAATGCATACTTCAACTTATTTCTCATAAATTAATGCACAAAACACATTTGACTGGATTTGAGTTGTGAATATTGTATCATTTAAGTTTTAGATTATGCATTTTTCAACATATAGTTTGATTTCCTGAAAGCTTTAAATTTCTTTAATGTAACTACTAAGTTATTTTTTACTTGCAATGAATATATTGTTCTTTAATTTTCTATTGACTCATTTTTTCACGCTTTCTTTTCTTATAAAGTAGTGGCTGTGGCAACTTTAGAAAAAAGGACTTTCTTAAATGTGTATAGTATAATGTTCATTCAAATTTGAGGATGGCAGTTGGAGGTGTAAATTACCATCCATTTGATCTCTCCTAAGGTCACGGAGAAACAAATTTATCAGTGAAACTTCAAGTGTTATACAGGTAACAACACAAAATGTTCAACGACGAATTAATCGACCTTGGGATGAAATCTAGAGCATGGCCAATCGGGAAAAATATAATTTTTTTGCTCACAGGCTTCTTCAATCAAGATTTACATATACAAGTCCCTATTAGACAAGAAAGGTATGTGTAATATCATTGCCTCTTCTGCTTACTTCCCAGGGAACTGGAAAACAGAACGCCGATTATTGGACTAAAAAAGGAACAAATAATTATAATAAATTTTATTGCCCTAAACTACAAACTCGAATAAAATGAGTTATTATGTTATGGAGTCAACAAAGGCTGAGTTCGGTATTGAGGTAAGGTGAGTTACTGTGAAGATGTGCTCTTCCACTCAGAAAATAATTCACAGTCTCTATCTAAGTTATACCTTATTTAAGCACCACAAAATACTGAAGAACTTAACACTAATCCTTAAGATATTAACTGTTCCACAAGATTTATTGAACAAGAGTTTTAAATTGTTACAAATAAATTTACATACTCAAATGAATACATTCTATTTGAAATTGATGTGAAGTACTAGATATAGTAATTGAAGGTAATTTTGGCGTTGCTCCACTACATCACTGGAAAGTGCCTCTGCCAACAATGCTGAAGTCAACATAATGTAAGATAGGTTATGATAGGGTAGGTCCAATGAGAGTGGATCTATTCAATGCGCCACTGCAACCTGCAGGAGTTTATTGTGGCTCACACCAAATCAAACTTGACCAAATAAGTCACGTTTATTTGAAGAGCGATCTTTCAGGTCAAATGACAAGAGTGAAACAGCATAAGTTTTCTGCTATTTCATCATCTTCCAAACAGAGAATGCACACAATGTCTTCCGACAGTCCAAGTCTCTTCATATCACGATTCAGACGACAGTGACCTGTAAGTAGGTCTGTTAGACAACGTAGGTCATACCTGCTGTAATACAACAATTGTAATATTTCGTAGGACGTTTAAATCCCTTTGAATGAGCCAAAGCTGGTAGATTTTATTATAAATCTGAAACTTTTCTTGCAGTCCAGGTATTCAGTGTTTGTTTGGCAAAGCCCAAAGCGATGTCAATGACAGGTCTTGGTCCGATGTAACTGCTCACAGCGTCCTTCGTTGCAAAGAAATCAGCAGATTTTTTCCTTCCGGACCAATGTAGCCAGGAATCCAGACCAGATACAATTTTTTGATCCTTCCTATCGAAGAGAGTCTTTTTTGACAGTTCACTACCAACTTAGCTGTTACTTGTTGTGAGCCAAGTGCTTCCAAAGCCGCATCGTGAGCTGCCTGAAAATATTCTTACTTTGTATTACAAAGATGTCCATCTTGCCTGTCTCTTCAGAAATGGAAGTGGCATCAAAAAGTCCTAGCAACTTTATTTTTTCAAATGGAACACCCCGTATATTAATACATTTTTGGAATCGCTCTGGTATTTTAATACTTTTCTGTTAATAATGTCCTATACCTATCTCTATCTGTTTTCGAGATATTTTTGTTCTATAAAAATTAAATTATATTTGTCGCATAATTATGAACACAATTAGATATAGGTACAAAAATGTTACGATTAGTTAGTAGAATCTCTAGATACCAAATGCGTGGAAATAGCCGGATTATGAATAGTTCCATGTTACACTCAAAAGATATTCATGTGTTAACTTGTAAAAATCCTCAGGGATTACTCTCCAAAAACACCTTAGACAACAGGTTTGCAACAAGTGTAAGGTATTTCACAAGTAAAACCCCAGTGGGTTCGGATGATGAACCTCATCCATCACCTGAAGAAGAGTCCTTTAACCCTCAGTTACCTGCTACTGTAGCTGTTCCTGAAGTATGGCCACACGTTCCTGTAATAGCTATTTCAAAAAATATCTTATTTCCCAGATTCATAAAACTCATCGAATTAACTAATCCCCATCTAATAGAACTCATAAGAAGTCAAATTGAATCAGCCCTATTGTGGAATATTTTTGAAAAAACAAGAAGATAACGAGGCTGAAGTTGTTAGTAATATTAATGATGTGTATAATGTCGGTGTCTTTGCACAAATTCATGAAATGCAGGATCTCGGGGATAGGTTGAGATTGGTTGTGATGGCGCATAGACGTATTAAAATTACTGGGCAAATTATGGAAAGTGTTGAGGATGAACCGAAAGAGGAATCAGAATCGGAAAAGCGTAAACGTAAATTGAGAAATAATAGAATAAAGAAATCAGTTTTGGAAACACGCCCATTAGAAGAATCCAAAGAATCAAAGTCTGCAACTGATGAAACCAAGGTAAAATCTCCACTATTCGAGACATTATCAGTCTAAATCCTTTGTACAGAGATAGTTTGCAGCAGATGATGTATCAAGGGCAAACGGTTGTAGATAATCCTGTAAATCTAAGTGATTTTGGTGCGGCCCTAACAGCAGCAGAAAGTAAAGAACTTCAAGAGGTCTTAGAAGAGATGGAAATTCCAAAAAGGCTGATGCTATCTTTATCACTTTTAAAAAAAGAATATGAACTATCAAAACTTCAGCAAAAAATCGGAAGAGAAGTAGAAAAAAAGGTTAAACAACACCATAGAAAATATATATTGCAAGAACAACTGAAGGTAATCAAAAAAGAATTGGGCTTTGAAAAAGAAGACAAAGATGCAATTGGTGGCAAATTCAAGGAGAAAATAAAAGACAAAGTATTACCTCAAGTCGTATCAGCTGTTATAGATGAGGAATTAAATAAGTTGAGTTTCTTAGAAAGTCACAGCTCGGAATTCAACGTTACAAGAAATTACTTAGATTGGTTGACTTCACTTCCATGGAGTGTTCAAAGTGAGGAAAATCTCAATTTGCAAAGAGCATCTGAAATTTTAGACCAGGACCATTATGGAATGGAAGATATCAAACGTCGTATCTTAGAATTTATTGCAGTTAGCCAGCTGAAAGGCAGTACACAAGGAAAAATATTATGTTTTCATGGCCCTCCTGGTGTAGGAAAAAACAGTATTGCACGGTCCATTGCAAGAGCTCTAAATAGGGAATACTTTAGATTCTCAGTAGGAGGAATGACAGATGTAGCGGAGATAAAAGGGCACCGAAGGACTTACGTAGGTGCAATGCCTGGAAAAGTTATTCAGTGCCTAAAAAAAACTAGGACAGAAAACCCTTTGGTACTTATAGATGAGGTGGATAAAATAGGAAAGTAAGTTTACACCCTTAATATTGCTTCAGATATCAAACCATATATCTTCTGTAGGGGTTACTCAGGCGATCCCAGTTCTGCCCTTCTTGAACTGCTTGATCCAGAACAAAATTCCAATTTTCTTGATCATTACCTTGACGTTCCAGTGGACTTGTCCAAAGTCCTATTTATCTGTACAGCAAATGTAGTCGATACTATTCCAGAACCTCTTCGAGACCGTATGGAAATGATTGATATGTCTGGCTACGTTGCAGAAGAAAAATTAGCTATTGCCAAACAGTATCTACTTCCACAGGCTATGAAAGATAGCGGTTTGAAGGATGATACAATAAAAGTAGAAGACGAAGCTTTGAACATTTTAATCAAAAGTTATTGCAGGGAAAGTGGTGTCAGAAATTTGCAGAAACATATAGAAAAAGTGGTGAGAAAGGTGGCATATAAGGTGGTCAAAGAAGAATCATCCTTTGTGCAAGTAGATGGAAAGAATTCACAGCTTTTCGTTGGGAAACCAGTATTCACCCATGATAGGATGTATCCTGTCACTCCACCTGGTGTAGTTATGGGATTGGCTTGGACTGCAATGGGTGGTTCAACTTTATAGATTGAAACTACTGCCCGCCGTTTACCCACAGAAAAAGAGACTGATGGAAGCTTGGAACTCACTGGTCATCTTGGAGATGTAATGAAAGAATCTGCAAAAATAGCCCTTACTGTAGCTAGAAATTTCCTCCATGAAAAGGATCCAGCTAATAAATTTTTATTCACAAATCATTTGCATTTACATGTGCCTGAGGGAGCAACCCCTAAGGATGGCCCTAGTGCAGGATGTACAATCGTAACAGCGTTACTGTCTTTGGCTAAAGGACAATCAATAAGACAAGATGTTGCTATGACCGGAGAGATATCTTTATTGGGAAAAGTTTTACCAGTTGGAGGTATTAAAGAAAAAACAATTGCGACAAAACGATCTGGCATCAAATGTATCATTCTCCCAGATGAAAATAAAAAAGACTTCAATGACTTGCCCAAGTTCATCACCGAAGGATTAGAAGTTCACTTTGTATATAACTTTAACGAAATCTATAATATCGTTTTTGAAGAAACACAACCTCGGCTGACAATATAGTTTTTTTTTGTTATTTTTCTTTTTACACTTATATGAATAGAAGTGTTTATTTTTTATCCACATTTATATTAAAAGATGATTTAAATTTCAAAAATAAATTGTGCTAAATATGGTCCAAAACATAGCCTTAATTGAAATTAAGTACATCAGTACTCTCAATTCATGAAAAGTTTATATTTGGATGATAGTTTGGAAAAACTCAATATATCCAAATAACACCAAGAAATCGACTCCATATCATACAGGGCGTGCTAAAATTACTATTATTTCCATTGTGCATAAAAGTAGTCAAAAGTTAATTTTTTCAAATGAAACCCCCTGTATATTACTCGGTAAATTGAAAGATGGTGAAAAATGCTTCCAGATGATATATCATGTCCCTATACCTAAATCGTCAAGTTTTATCAATAAAGTCGCTTCTTCTAGAAACATTATTTTTTTTTAGAATTTGGATTTAGGTAGCAGTGGAATTATCAAGCTTATAGCAGTTCGGTTACTTTTATAAGTAATTTACAAAGAGTTATCGACGGTGTTTCGAATCATCTTCCAAAATGAATGCAAATATCGATTATTCAAACGAAGTTCTTATGAAATTATTTATTATACACGGACAGTGTGATCAAATCATTGCCAGAACTTGTAGAAAATTCAACCAAATAGAGGTTCAACTAGAGGTTCATTGGTGTTAATTCAGGAAATCCTGAATTAACACCAATGAACGAGAGGAAGTTTGTAAGATTACAAAATAATTTCCCTAACTATGGTTCCATGTTGAAAGCGCCTTCAACATTACCAAATGAGGACAATACTGTTAACGTTTTGGCATATTTTTATGCATATCCAGAAGCTTCCATTCGCAGTGCAGAAAAAGATTTAGGTGTATCACATGCTTCAGTACAACAAATTTTGAAAAATCACGGAATGCATCCGTATAAATTTACCAAAGTTCAAGCTCTAAAAGCAGAAGACTTCGAACGTAGAATGCATTTTTCTGAATCCCTTTTGATTCATACACAGGAAGATCGGGAATATTTGTCAAAAATAATTTGGAGCGACGAATCAAAATTTACGAGGCATGGTATTTTCAATAGAAGGAATAAACATTTTTGGGCTGATCATAATCCTCATGTTATAAAAGAAATGGGTTTTCAAGAAAAATTTGACCTGAATGTTTTCTGTATTCTGAAGAAAAATAAAATTAGCTTTTTAATTTATGAAGACACACTGAATGCAGAGAGATATCTCCAAATATTAAGGACGACTGTAACCGATTTTCTTTAAAATTTGCCTTTAGAGGAATATAGGAATTCGTGGTTTCAACTGGACGGAGCGCCAGCTCATTCCACCTAGGAAGTTTCCAGGAAACTTGACGAACTCTTCGACGATCGTTGGTTTAGACGTTTAGGGCCGTGGGATTGGCCACCGAGATCACCCGATCTCACGCCACTTGACTTTTTTCTATGGGGTGTTTTAAAAGAAAAAGTATACAGTACGCCAGTGCCTACCAAAGAATAATTGCGACGGCGAATAGTGCGGAGTATTGAAGATCTGGATCCCCAGGAAATTGAAAAAGCAACCACAAGCCGTTTGAAGGTGATTGACAATGTTTCGTGATGAATTTCACTAGTTCGGACTTCCATTGTCTACTATATAAAATGATTTGAAATCCCTGAAACAAGTAAAAAAGAATAATTAAAAAAGAATAGTTGAAAATAACAATTATATTAAGCAACAATAAACCTGAAATGAAAAACCTCGGCAAAACTTATTCATTTTTACTAATAAAAAAAAACTCATGCTCAAATTTGTCATAATGCACCTCTCCGGAATATTCCGATTCCCACCCCGAAGTATGCTTGACATTTTTGTCAAACGATCCCTTCAGTGTGTTCAATACGGCATCAACAGTGCCCGATTACACGGAACTGAGGCTGTAGGTGTCGCAATTCAACTGAGTAGGGGTTGTCACAGAATAATCTCGGTCTACAATCCCCCGAGCAATCGATTACTCCCTGAATCACTGGATGAACTGCTGATGGGAAGCAACACTCCGATAATTGCTGCTGGTGACTTTAATGCCAAGCACAGAGCATGGAGCAGAGCCACTAATCGAAACGGCCAAGCGCTCCATGCGCACGTTGACAGACATGAATATCTTGTGCTGGGATCAGATGAGCCTACATACTATCGCGGGCGTACTAGACATCGCGTTTTTCAGAAACGTCTCTGTGACTAGAGAAATTTATGTTCTGTCGGAACTGGATTCCGATCATAATCCAGTAATCCTGGTATTGGGCGATGATCTTCCTTCCCCTGATTATCGCATGAAATCTAAGACGGACTGGGATGTCTTCATCACAGCCAAGCTCGGAGAGATGCGCGCCCCTCCTGAGGTACTCGACTCTCCCGACGAACTCGACGCGGCAGTCGAACGTTTCGAGCTTTCCGTGACTGATGCGTTTCGAGCGGCCATCTCCAGGGAGGAATGTCCGCTGAGGAGCTATAATGAGTTTCCCCCTCGTATCAAAGCCCTGATACGAGAGAGAAAACGCCTGAGAAGGCTCTACCAGCGAACCCTTTTCCCAGGGGATAAAATCGCGGCAAATAGGATGCCAACCAAGTCTAGCAGGCCATCATTGACCATCGAAACGAAAGGTGGGAAGAGCTTTTAGAATCCTTCGAACCTGGGAGTGACTAGCTTTGGCGAGTCACTTGTAGGCTCAAGGAGAAGAAGACTACTCTCTCACCCATTCACGGAGAGTGCGGAGTGTGCTACTCCCCCGCCAACAAAGTGTTGGCCTTTGCTGACACGATTGAACGTCAGTTTTAGCTTAACGTTGACGACGACGACGACATCGACCGCGATATGCTGTTGGAAGACCGGGTTCACCGAGTCCTCAAGGAAGATGACGACGACGACATCCGTCCAGCTTCTGTAGAAAAGCTGAAGGGATACATCAGTAGATGAACAAACTTGTTCCTGGACCACTTGGGAGTGGGGGAAACGTCATCGAAATCGACGCAGGATGGAACGAGTATCGTAGCGATTCAAGCGTGGAACTCCGCCCCTCGGCGGAGTTCCACGCGGTTAGGTGGTACTCCACCTAACCTATCAGCTCCCTTAGTACTCCACCCTTGGGATTCCGCATCAGCGCTCAGGCCTCCTTGTCACGTGATTTTAATTTAAAAAAGTTTATAATTATGAGATTCGAACCTGGATCGTCCGCGTGGTAGACATTGTCCTTAGCCTCTACACCAACGTAAGATATTGAAGGTAACTGCGAATGTTGGATATTTACAGCGTTAGTTTTGTCGGGACCGAAATATACTTATACTTGACAGCATTTTTTTTTTGATTTCCCTAGACTGTAATCATCATTATCTTGTTGAAGATAGGAAAATATACTTAGATTTGGGAAATAATTAATATTTCATGTAAAGATGTGTATGTGTGTGTAAGAGCGAAAGACGCGTGTGACGTAATCGATGCAAAGAGAGATGGAGATGTTATCGAGATTTACCGGTTGCTGGCGCAAGCAAGTGTTGTCGGTTAGACAATAAATCGTTGTTTATGGAGCAATGTAGCGTTGCCGGTTTTGAAATTAATCGTGAACGATTCGATGGAAATTGGAAGCGCGAAAGTGATATATTAATAATAATGAATCAAATTTAAGAAAAAACATTACAGATTAATAAGGCTGTATCGTTTCAAAGTGTGATCCCTCAATGTTACAAGGTATCTCAAAATGCATCATTGAAAACAAACATGGCGTTGAGTGTACAGGGTGCGTCAAAATACATCACCGATGTACATAATCTAAATTTGAGATTTAAACATCTCTTGACTGCACCTAAACATAAAACTTCTTTTTTTCGAGGATCTTTTTCTTATAACATTGAACACTTATATAATCGGCTACCCATTGAATTCAAATCCCTATCACCACTTAGTTTCAAGAAA